TTATGTATGCACCAGCTAATTCTTCCATCAAAACTTCTTGTCAGCGATGTCAGGATTATTTTTTTTTCCTTTTTATAAAAACACTTGATGTTTCAGGAAGTGTTAATCCCTGAAGGTTGGGGAATGAGGGCGGGGGTAGCAAAGGAGTGGGTGTGGGTGACAGGTTTCTTGAGCCTGGGGAAGGCACCCTTTAGAGCCGTTTGCCTGTCTACACTGGAGTTGGGGTCTGCTGTGGAGCTGGGGACCGAAGGAGGGTTTCTTTGAGTCATGGGAGGGACAGACCCTTACCCTCCGTACTGCATTTGATGGAGGTGCCTCTGGCTTGTGCGGGATGAGGAACAGAAAAGTTCGCTTTAGCCTGTGATTTCAGGATGTTTAACCCAGGCGGTGGCTTGACAAAACCCAGAGAATTCTGAAATCGGTTTTTAAAAGATACAGAATGAAAGAGATGGATAACAGGATAAAAAAAAATTATAGCCGGGGACCTGGGTTGCTTCTTTCCTCTCAGTTTTTCTTGGGATCAAGTATCTCAGGTTCTATATCCAGCACCCAGACCTACCTTTCCATTGGTGACAGAAATGGACAATTTCTTCAAGAGGAGCGATTTAGTTAATATCTCCATCAAATGATTCTAAGAATAAATTCGTATTTCTGTGCATATAGATAGAGGAATTTTTAAACTTTTTGGAGCTCTTAAAGCTAGCTAATAGGGAAGGCTGAAGAGCCATCTGACCCAGCCCAGGTTTGGATCCCAGAAAGAAAGAAAGAAAAAGAAAACATAAAAGGAAAGCTGTGAACTATAAACATGTTTCCAATCTCATATTTTTAAAATATTGCCTAGATTTAGAAGCTGGATTCTTGCACAATGAGACTACCACTTGCAGGACCACTCAGTCCCAAGCTTATGAAAGCCAAGACCAGTGAGAAGGGGGCTGGGGACTGTTGCTTGTGCCCCTACACCCCCCACCCCTGCCCCTTTTAGAGCTAGTGTGTGTGAGAGAAGATATTAAAGAGGTATCTGTTGTTTGGCAATTTTGCTAAGACTGTCTTCACTACTTCGACGCTGTGCATTTGCTAATTTGGAGGCCTGGCCATTGACAAGCTTGCTCCATACACCTGCAAGCAATTTGCCGGCTCCGGTACCGGAGAATTGCAGAGATGGCAGCTCGCACCTATTTGATTTTTTTTTCCCTTTTCTCAATGCACAGCAAATTTGGCTTTCAGTGCGTTATCTCTTTTGTTAATGCAAAAAGATTCCCTGGGCGAAAAAATTGCTCATAATTACCAGAGAGATGGGGAAACTGCATTAGAATAAATAAACCTGAAATTACTGTAATTATGTTGTGTTTGATGGGCCCGGCTTGTAATCAAGAAGAGAATACAGTGAAATGATGCTGACCCTCTTGGGTTTGCAGCTGTACGCGCACTTTGGGGTCTTTTTTTGCAGAAAAGAGTCATTTTGATAATCATTAAGCTGTGTGTAACCTATTTCAGAAGTGTTTTAAAATGAGGTTCACATTTTTTGAACAAGGGGGAAAAAATCCCAAAATTGCATTTTGCCATTACAGACTCATACATAAGGAAAGGTTGTGTTTTCTAAGTGACAATTGTTAAGACATAATATTCGAAATCAGTATTTAATCATTATAATGAGGTATTGTTTAAATATAACCACCTTTAGATTATTCATAGTTTAATTAATATACTCATTATGAAAATCTTTGAATCAGATATTTGATGAACTACTTGTCAGTAACAAGGCAGCATTAATTAGGCCTATATTGAGATTAACATTTTTTAAAAGTGCAACCGCTTATAATTATAATAGAGCCTAACTAAAGACCGCCTTCGTTGAGCTAAAACTAATAATTTCTCTATTTGAACTGTTAGCAAGAGATTATTAAATTAGTATAAGCTAATATCTCAAAATATTAAAATCCGCTTGACCAAGCAGATTTTGCCTGTGGCTTCAGGCGCTGGGCCCTGGCTGCAGCACCGGAGTTGGATGAGTAAGAGCAACCCACCAAAACCTCCCCTCTAGCAAAGTCACATCTCCAGGGAAAACCAAATCCCTGAAGGTCCCTACCCGGGCGGCAGCCGAACCCAGCCTGGGAAATCCTGTTCCCTCTCAGCTTTGAGGCCCGTCCGCTCCCGCTAATGATCTCCCCCATTTGCGTTCCGGGTTCTGGAGACCTGCGGGAGAGGAAAAGCCCCAATCCCAGGCCCTGATGGGGCCTCGAGGTCCCCGGCTCCATCCCCCACTATTTCCCCGGCTCCCTCCATCACCGCCCCTCCACCACTTCCCCTCCCCTTCCCAAAGGGCGTCAGAAGAGCCTGGAGCATCTGCTCTTTAACCAGCACCAATTGAAAAATGGGTGCTTGTCACAACACAGATCACTGCCTTCCCCGCTTTGCTCCCCACCGCGCGCTGCAAAGGGTCCCCCAAAGGCGGAGGGCCAGCCCGCAGGAAGCAGTGTCACAAGGCGAGTGTGAGGGAAGCGGGAATCGCTCAAAGCAGCCCAACGGGGCCCCGCAGCTTCCCTGAGCTTCCTTGGCTCGGCTGTGGGGTCTGGGGTTGAGGTTGGGGTGAGACTCCGGGCCACCGGGTGGAGGGAGCCAGGCTGGTTCTAGTTGCTCGAAGTCCACTTTCTCCTGGAGAAGAATTCATCGGAGGGTTCCACTGGAGGTGCCCCCTTACTGTCCTGGCCTCAGGACTGTCGGGCTAGGGTGGGGGGTCTTGACTCGGCCAGCTCCTGGGTTCCAAGGAGTCAGCGGAGCCCTCCAGCCCTTCCCTTGGCATTTCCATCTGAGGCGCGGAGAGAAGCTGGGGATCATTAGGAGGGAAGGGGCTTCTCGTTGTGGATGGGCCCGACGGGTGAGGGTGACTGTGGAGGGGCCCAGGTGGCGCCTTGGGACTGTCCCCCAGAGCTCACTGATTGACCAGGTGAAGCCCAACAGAGGAGTCCTTCCGGCCCCTTTCCGGTGTCTGGCCGCGTCTTTTCCGCGTGGGGATCGAGCGCCCTGGAGGCGAGCAAAAGCCGGAAGGCCAGATCGCCGCGATGGCGAGGGGGCAAAGCCTAGCGTCTCTGCTTTCAGTCTTCTAGGCTTCCGGCGAGGTAACTGGGTGTGGGGTGGCACTCAAGTCTCCCATACCGGTTGCCCTTGAGCTCTGCTTTCATCTCCTCTCAGCCAGCCTTCACAGTCCCTTTGGTTCCTGAGACCCCGCTCTGTCACACAGCACCTGTTTCTGATCCCCCCCACCAAGGACCCTTGCCAGACAGTCGCTGCCCACCCTTCCAACCCAGGTAGGGATCAGACCCCTTGGGAGCCAGAAGCAGAGCAAGATGAATGGTCCTAACGTCTAGGGAGGGCCTTCCCCTTTATTCTGGTATGTCCGGAGCCAAGAGTCCCTACCTCTGCGTTATCTGTCCCAGAGGTGGAGGCCCCGGGCCCAGCCCACAGCACCCCCTCACACAGCACACCAGACAGCAGTTCTTTCTCGAAACCATAATTTTACTGTCTCAAAGAAACTTTATAACTTATTTACAAAGTTCTTTTTTTCCAAGATACAAAGCAATAAGTTAACATTCTCAATATAAAACTAAACTTTGACATAGAGAACACAAAACACGGTTGATTTCAATTGATCACATTTTCCAAATTTCACAAGTAAAATGTCAAGATTCTCATTTCACAAAGCATCAGGTTTTACAGCCACACACAACAGAACGGAAAAAAGCTAAGCTTGTGCAACATGTTTACGGAACAATAATAATAACAATAATAATTAACAACAATAATAATATGTACAGCGATTAGATCCTGCACTGGAGACTGGGCGGCCAGGGTGCTGCCTGGCGTTATTCTGTGGTCGAGCCTCTGGGGATTAGTGCTGCTTTTGTCTTACTTTAAAGCTCACTGGCTTTAGGGCACTCGTTTATGCTTGCCTGTTTTTTCTTCACTGCCCATCGGTCCTCTCTCAAGCTTCCAGAGGAGGGAATTAGGATCTTCCTTCTTGTCCGGGCAAAGCGACCAAGTCTTCCCCCGCCCCCCATGAGAATATTGTGTTGGCTTCATTTCTCTTTTTTTTTTCTTTTAAAAATAATGCAGAACATGTAAAAATGCAAAGCATTAGGTTCCAACCTCTCCATACCAGCGAAGTACAAAAGTTACTGTATAAGTTAAAAATCACCAGGTCCTCCTTATTCGGTTTTCCGAGTGCGTTTGAAGTAATCGGTACTTTTGGACCATGCGCTCCTTGCGCTCCACAGAACTGCGAAGTGGCCAACATTCACCCTCAGGCGAAGTCCATTTCTTAATAAATAAAGCCCCCTCCCTCCAATTTCCCCCAATTCCCGAACAAGCTACCCAGATGGTTAGGCAGGCCCAGGAGAAGGTCCGAAAGGACAAAACGTCCCAGCATGCGGAGCTGGGCGGCCCGGCGGCCCGAGCCTCTTCCGACCTGGTGACTTTTTTCAGAGGCCGCAGAGTGAGGACAGCGGACAGACGAGGACCTCGACTTCATCAGCGCACAGATACAGAGCGAAAGGAGACAAGAGACAGACAGAACAGAAAAAAAAAGCTTTTGCTTTTTCTACATTGTTTTTTTTTGTGGGTGTTTTTTTTGTTTTGTTTTGTTTTGTTTTTTCCTGGTAGTCCCACACAGCTGAGGGTCGGCGAGTCGGGTCCGGCTGGCTCGTCTTGCAGCTCTGGCTGTCTCGGGAGGTTGTGCCTGCGTTCGGAGGCCGCTGTCTGCTGTCACCGCGCGGCCTAGGCCGGGGCGAGGGCGAGGGCGTGGGCTCCGGGAAGTCGCCGGTCCAGACCGCGCGGGACTCCAAGGAGATGGCGGGCGTCCTGCCTTCGCTGTTCCTTCTTCTTTGCCCCTGGGCCCCTCTCCAGGCCCAGGGCTTGCGGACAGGGTGGTTGGACCGGGAGGCGGGTGGGGCCCGGGCCAGGGTGGGGGAGACGGGAAGGAGGCGGGAGGGTGCGGGCGGGCAACCTCACATGAGTTGGGGTTGCTGCATAGCTTCTTGGTGCGCCGAGGGGTACCACGACGTGTAGCTGGGGATGTAGGAACCGGCGCTGCCGCCCGAGCCCTTCCCAGATGAAGAGTTGGGGTTCCAGCCGGGCGGCACTGGTGGGGAGCCGGCAGACAGCGCCCGGCCGTTGGCCAGCGCGCTACCCTCCAGAGCCGCCCCGCCCTGCTTCATCAGTTTCTTGAACTTGGAACGCTTGTTCTGGAACCAGATCTTGACCTGCAAGAGCGGACAATAATGTGACTCGGCTAGGTCCATTGTGCCTACCGTGGTCTTCGGGGAGGTAAGGGGGCCGTGGGACAGGGGAGAAAGGATTCCCCTCGCCGCCCTGCGCGACTGGGCAGCTCCCTGCTGGAGGAGCAGAGCCCCACCACCACCTATAAGAACCAAAGCCTCGGAGGCCGGGCTGCCAGCCGCCGGTGGCCCGCAGGGGCCAGCTCGCAGAGAGCCAAGGGGGCGTGGTGGTGAGGAGTTAGTGGGGATCCAGGCCTTCGTTTGTCAGGGACTCAGCGCGACCCTGGCAATCGTCTGGGGGAAGAAGCAGCGCCTGCACAACATCGAGTCTTCAAGTCCAATGTGAACATCAATAAAAGAACCGAGTGGAGGAAAGGAGTGGAGGAAATTTATTTGCAATGCCACCTGCTTTCTCTTTGCTCCATCCTTTCTGCCCTTGAGTTGGGGGCTGACTGAGGAGGCCAAAAGGTTTTGTTAAACTTTTCATTTGGACTTACATCAACCTTTCCTTAGTGTCTGTTTGCTCTCCCCAGCTCTGCTCCAAATCCCGGCCCAGACGTTGGAAACCCGCGCCAGTCCTGATCAGAAAGCCCATGGGCTCCCCGAGAGTCTCAGAGCAATCCTCCTCCAGGGTCTGGGACTGGGGAGGTGAGAAGGCGGAGGAAAAGACTTCCCCTTACCCCAACCCGATGAGAAGGAGGAGGAGGGAGACTGAGGCTCGGCCCAGGCCCTGAGTGATTAGCCACACACTTCAAAGGCAAAGAAGGGATTAAGCCCAGAGTCTATTGTTCCAGTTGTTCGGGCACGTGTGACCTCAGAGTCCCCAAACAAAACGTCTAGGGAAATCCTTCCGCGCCCTAATCAGATTGTCCAGGGAGTGAGGGCCGGGCGGCAGGCAGCGCGGAGTAGAGTGCAGCGACCGAGCCAGGGCAGAGAGAACTAGGGAGGAAGGAGAGACGCAGGGAGAGCCAGGGGTGGGACGGACGGACGGACACACACACACACACACACACACACACACACACACACACACACACAGTCTCCGACCCTGAGGCCCAGAGAGCGAGAAATGAAGCTCCGGGCGCAGGCCGACCGCGGGAAGCCCGCTTGGCAGAGGGGCAGCGGCAAGGTACCTGCGTCTGCGTGAGTCCCAAGGAGGCCGCGAGCTCCGCCCTCTCGGGCAGAGCTAGGTACTGAGTTTGCTGGAATCTCCGGTTCAAAGCCTGCAACTGCAAACTGGAATAAATCGTCCTGGGTTTGCGGATCTTTTTCCCCTTGCCATTGAAGCGCACTTCACCGCCTTCCACCACCGTGCTCTTCTCGGAGTCAGCCCCTGGAGGGACAGCAGAAGCGGGGGGCTGCTGTTAATGCAGGGACAGCCTTCAGTGCGGGGAGCCGAGGGTGAGTGGCAACCGAGGGATGACAGAGGCTGGGCCGAGAGAGAACGCTCAAGAAACTCCGAAAGCCAGGGAAGTGTCCCGTAAAGTCCGAGGGCCGGACCGGGCCGCTGCAGGCGGACTGGGGCAGTTCCCAGGCGTGCAGTTCCTGCCTTTGCAGAGAAAGTTTGCTATTTTTGCACGCGGTAGCTGAGGTTTAATTACCCTTAATTGCATACATTGTTTATAGCGCTACGCAATAAATAATTACTGAGACTAATACGTGCACATGTGGGTTTCTGTTTTCCAAAGGGGCATTGTGTGCTCGGCGCACAGAGCCGGCCAGAGGCCTAGACAGTGCCAGGGGACGCTCTCGGATTTATCCTTTGCTGGATAGTTGCGAGTTGGGTGGAATTTAAAAAAATTTTTTTTTCTTTGCTATGACAAGGATCCATACATAGATTGATACCCGAAACCTCCATTGCTCCGGCGTCCTCCCCACCCCCACCTCTCTCTCCCCCTCTCCCTCCTCTCTCTCTCTCTCTTCCTCCCCCCTCCCTTCCTCCCTCCTTCTGTCCCTCTCTCCCTTCGTACCCTTTCCTCTCCCTCTCCCTGGCAGGCGCACGTACCTGGGTCCTCCAGGCGGCTCTGGGCGAGGCTGGCGCTGCCGGGGTAGGACTGCACCGAACTGATGTAGGGGCTGGACGCGTGGCTGCTGACCGAGTTGACGTAGGGGTAGCCCAGCGGTCGGGAGAAAGACGAGGCCGAGCTGTAGGCGCCGTCGGGCTGCGAATGGCCCGCCGAGTGTAAACAGTGCATGGAGTAGTGCCCGTGGGACATGGGAGAAGGAGACATTTGCTGGTTGGGTGGCCCAAACTCCATAAACACCGCCTTGCCCGACACGGGGCTGTTGAGACTTTCTGGCATGGTGGTCATGGTCATCTCTTCTCGCGGGGTCTGGGTGTGGGTCTCTCTCTCTCCTCTGCTTCCCTTTTGGGGGTCTCTGTGTTTCTCAGGACAGGAAGGAACCCAATTTAAGCGGAACAGGGGTTTTCACTTTCCATTCATAAGAAAATGGAGTTTGTCTCTTTGAAAAGTCTAAGCATGATGCTGCCGAGCTCCCCAAACTCGCTTCAAAGCTTTGACTCAGCCAAGGTCATAAATATTCATGAGCTGGCGGAGCTGATTGGTCCGCTGTCTTGCATAATCACCGGGGATTGGTCCGAGGCGCTCCGGCTCCGCTGGACTAGAGCGGGCGAGGCGGCCCGGCCTCGGGAGAAACGCGTCCACACTTCCCGGCCGGGGCTCCTCTGCAACAGAGCGCGCCGTGTGGAGCGCACAATGGGCTGCAGCGCCCGCGCGGGGACCTCAGCGGCCCGTGGCTCTTCAGCCTCCCGCCTCCCCAGCGCGCCTTACTTCCCAGAAACCCACCAGCGACTCGGCGCAGCCGCCCTCCCCCCACTACTGTCCCCACCCTCCGCCCGCCCCCAACACCGGGACAGGGGCACCGCTTCTCCAAGCCGCCGTCACCAGGTCCGGCGCTCAGCTAGGGCGGCTCTGGAGCCCCGGCCGCGGCCTCGGAGCGCGAAGTCGCACACTGCGGGGGTCGGGGGTGGGCACCAGAGGCGGCCAACAGGGCGCTGTCCTCCCGAGAGTCGTGTGCCTAGCGCAGCGCTCTCCTTGGCGGCGCCTCCCTGGCCTGGGTCCGCTCTGCCACATCCCTGGGGTCGGGTTTGGGGCCCTCCAGGCGAACTCACTCACTCGGCCGCCGCGCCGCCGCCGCCGCTCCCTGGGGCCCGCTCGCATTGCTCCAGGCCCAGCTGGCCACTCCAGCTCGAGGCTGCACCGGTCTGATTAAAGCAGAGCGCGCGAAGAGCCAGGAACCCGCGCTTCTCCTCCCAGGAAAGGCGGCCGCACCGCCCCTCCCCCCAACACACACTCCCTCTTTCCCTCCCAACCTTCCTCCGCCTCCCCCTCCCCTCCACTCCCTCTGCGCCGAACGCCCTGGACTCACTTGCCCCAAGGGCGCGGCGCAGAGTGGAGCCGAGGGGCCGGCGGGCTCAGTTCGGCTTGAGCCTCGGATACCAGGGGGTCATTTTCCGGCCTCCTGGGGTCTGGCAAGAGTACCCGGGATCTGGGAGTCCTGCGGACCACCGAAACCCGCGGCAAAACCGGGCCGGTGGTAGGCTTGTAGATCTGGTTACAGACTCGTCTCTCATTGTCGCCCAGGATCCTCCTCATCTCCAGTGGCCAAAGCGGGCTCCACTGGGCCTGGGGGCAGGGCTGGCAAAAGCTGCCACGGCGCCTTCTATCTTCTGGGGCGCTAGGTACAGAAAAGCGCACAAAAGCCCCCCGCCGCCGCCACCACACAGCCACCCCCACGAGGCGTGGCGCGCACCACGCTGTCTGCGAGGGGCTGTTGGTTCCCCATCCCGCCAGCCCCACGGTGAATCCCAAATTACTTTGTTAGGTAATTAGAAAGTGTTGATAATTATTTCTTTCATAATTTAGCGGTGTGATGGGAACGGGGAAATGATCTTGTGAAAGTTCACACGTGCAGATGTATTAGTTACTGATTCATTTGATTAAATGGTAGTCTCAAGTGCTCGGATCCGCAGCTGAAGGCGCCCCATTAGCATAACACTGATGTTTAATTTTCATACGCATAATTAGCCATATATTTAACACTAATAGCAACATGCAGCCTTTCAGCGTTAAACAGCCCGGGATTTGATCTGGCCTGAGCTGAACCTTCGGCGATGCACCTTCCCCTGTCTGGAGTGCGCACTGATCACAGGACAAACCTCTGTAATCAAGCACATTTTGGCAGAGGGAACACCAATAAAAATGAACATTCAAAACAAATTACATCGGTGCTGTCGTTACAGATATTAGTGGAAGGGGCTTCTCTCTTTTTTAACTTCTGTAGCCTCAGCAGCTGCCCGCGGAATTCCTCTCCTTTGGTTTAAGGGCATGATATCGGGGGTAGCAATATTTCAGGCAGCGTGGTTGGAGCAAAAGGAAAAACAAAAGCAAAACAAAACAAAAAATCCTTCAAACCAGTAACTGGCTTGCCAACGTTTTAAAAAGACTTTTTTTCCTTAATCACCCAACCACAGGGTGATGCTTTGTAGCAACAACCAGCTAATGACTCCGCCACCAGACTACTCCCGGAGCCGCTCCACTCCTCTTGATTTCCGTGTTGCACTTGTGGTTTTAATTGCTCCTTCCTAGCGCCTGTTTCGGGGTGTGGAGTGCGGTGTGGTGCGGTGCGCCCTGCACAGCAGCACGGATGCCGCCCGGGCCCCTGGTCTCTTGCGCGCACCTCTAGCGGGCCCTGCCCACGTAAGTGACCGCCGCGGCTGGCGCCGGGTCGGGGTTGGGGCCGAGGGAAGTGGCTGTTGACTTCTAGAGCTCAGCGCTGTACGTGAGGAAACCCGACGGCTGGGCGGCCCATGGGCCAGTTTATTCCAGAGAACTGCAGGGTGGGGGAAGGGGAGAGAGGCGGCGACGGGTCGCGACCGTCTACAGGGCTCTCTGTCCACATCTGGGAGGGGGAATCCAAGCCTTTCCAGCGCAGGGGACCGGGCTGGCTCCGTGGAACAAAGGACCCGCACGCGCCCCCTCAGGAAATGGTTTCAGAGCCTTGTTTATTTTAGAAATGCATTATGTGTGGGCGAGGGAGTGTCTACACTCGGGAATTATTTCTTAGCCCCAGAGAAGCAGGTCCGGGGAAGGGCGGCTGAGCCGGGGCCCTCGGGCGTTGAGACACCGGGCCTTGAGTAGCTTCGCAGCCTGCGATCTTATCTCCATTCTGTGAGCCCCGAGTGGATCCCTCCCACCCATCCCCACTGCTAAGACGACACCTGTTCTGGAACGTTGGTTTGCTTAGATCTTTGCCTGTCCCAACCCTCACATTTATCCAGAGAGCCCGAATTCCGAGTAGAACCTGTGGGAGACACCGCAGGACCCGAGTCCGGTGGTGTTAGCAGTATCCACGCGTGGGCTGGAATCCCGGTGTCCCCGGGTGAGGTGTGGGGCCAGTTCAGCTGGAAGGTGGTGGTCGTGGTGGTGGTGGTGCACACGGTATTTTTTAAAATCTGCTTTCTAATTTCAACTTCAAAGCATGTTAAACGGAGTTTGTTCTAAATCAAGTTTGTTTCCTACGGAGCTGATATTGGCTGGTGCTGGTATATATGCATATATGTGGGTATAATGTTTAAACCAGGCTTAAACTAGTTACTTTAATAAATAGGATTATAAACCTGTCCCATAAATACTTCCACCTCAGAATAATTGCTGCACAAACAGCATGTTATCCCAGTGGTTGGTAAAATCCTGTGGTCCTAATAAAATTATTCTTGGGGAACTTGGAGTAAACTGATCCTTAGATAAGATAAGTGGCTAACGTTGCAATCTGATTGCTCTAGGAGAGAAGTGAAATCGTTATCTGGCAAACCTCTCCCAAGGCCATCTGGGCCAGGTTCCTTCCCAGAGAATCGGATTGTTCAGGAGCAGTAGTCAGTCTCCAGGCCTTTACTTGGCCAATGTCTCAAGCACCCCGAAAAGTTTTTCTATGGTCCTTGTAAATCTTCAGCCCTTCCCTCGCCTTTTCCAGCTCTCAGATCCACTTGAATTGGAATCACCTCTGTCCAAATTCTCCATCCCTGGGTGCAGAGAAAGGGAGCTGGAAGGGTTGGAAGGTGCCCAGGAGAATCTGAGTTCTGGGAAAAGCTTGAACTAGCCACTTTTCCAAGTGTACTTACTGACCTGTTTCCTATCTCTTCTCCCACCACTCTGTGTCACAAAGACACAGAGTGTCTCCTGGGTCCTGATCACAGTGACCACCTGTCATGGCAACTACAGGTGCTTGCATTTCCTTGGTGCACTCCAGCCCAAGCTATATTTAGTGGGCGGCAACTTTGCAAAACCCGCTTCAGTAGAAACAAAAGTTAGCACAACCCCTGGCTGCCCGGACACCCTCACCAAACTTGTTCCTAAAACTATAGCCAGAGGGGGGCTATTCTCTATGTGACCTACTAGACACCCAGCACCTCTTCACCTGAGCCCAGGTGTGAACAGGTGCTGGGGGGGAGTGGGTAGTGCGTGCTAAGGAAGGGAGGGTATTCTGATCAGAAATGGGCCTTTGGGAAATGCAGAATGTGGGTGCTTGGATTTTCTGCTTCTGAAGCAGGTGGAGCTGCAGGCTTGCCAGTTCCAGTCCCAGTTAACCTGGCTCTTGCCCTCCGAAGTTTCCATATCTTCCCCTGCTAGAATCCTCTGGGTCTCCAGGAGGAGAGCGCAGTCCAAAGGGGGCCAATATGGGGAGAGGTCAGCTTAGGAGCTAGACCAGCTGGACACTGTTCACACCTGGACTGGTGGGGCCAATGTTCTAATTTCTAGTGCAACAGACGGTCGTGTGTGTGTGTGTGTGTGTGTGTGTGTGTGTGTGTGTGTGTGTGTG